GTTGGCAGCGTTCTTAACAGTTTCTTCCAACAAGCATGGCCAACAGCAGATTTGCATATCAGGATTTGCATTCTCCCAGCGTAGCCCAGCAGAAAAACAGCACCTTTTCCTCAGTGGTTCCATTGGAACAGGAAAAAGTTCCAGGGCTGACTCTAATGGGAATAATCCGGGCCACTGAACCAATCACTGTAGACAAACACCTAGAGTATTCCAGTCAGGGATTGAGGACAGTCACATTTGTATCACATGACCAAATAGTGGGTTAGGAGGAGTAATTCTTTAAAAGATATCACAGCATTATTACCTGAAAAGAGAATGGATGCTAGGCAGGCAGAATCCACAGATGTCTACTAAAATTTTGGGCGATACTCCTTTAATATTTATTTTATACTTGAAGATGTGATGTATTATACAGACTTAGCAATAAAGAACTTCTTTTTTTTTTTTTAAATAGAGTTGATCCCATGACTCTCTTCTATCAGAGTAGTACCTTGGACATAAAGGATGATTTGCAAAGAGTAAAAACTTAAGTCATCTACACTTCGGTTTTCAGTACACCATAAAAATTTGCACATAAAGAGAACAGTGATTCTTAACTCGCAATGGTCCACAGATGGCTTTTTCACAGACATTTTTAGTATCCGGTGAATTCAATAGATTCGCTCCTTAGACCATATTTTTTGTACATACAAACTTCTTTTGAGAGATTGACCGTCTACATGAAGCCCAAGTTAAACCCCTGATGTAGACTGAATGTGTTTTCAAAGCCTTTGGCTCCTTTGCAAGTAAGCACATAGTCCTTTTCATAGTTATAACATAGGAATGCCATTTAGATGAATTTGTTGATTTTTATTTTTAAACTGCTCAAATTATAAAGATATACAAATCCGAAACACTATTTTCATACTGCATTCTTGTTCAATTCAGTGTCACAATCTTAAATCAAGGCAGATAAACTGTATTCAATTTCTGGTGAGGATACAAGGGCAAAAAATTAAGTCTTCTGAAGCTTTTGAATATTGTTTACTCCCATAATAAAGGAGGCAGCTTGCTGCCTAATAAGATGTGGCCTGGGAGGTTGCTTTATCAATTTGTCAATCCCTTGGAGGAAAAAACACATTTTAAAAACAAATCCAAGAGTAAGACATACATGAATGCAATCCATTTACACTGAGAGCACATTTCTGTACTGTGCCAAATAAAGTAAGAATTTTTGTATAGAAATTTATTCTTCTACCTTGGCATCCTTAAATAATATGATGTTCAAGAATTATATATATGTCTGTGGGAAGCACTTTAGGGTTTTTTAGCCTTTTCTATAGACAGTGTTATTTGTAAAACAACCATAAATTTGTGAAAATGGTAACATGCTAAATTTGTAGGTTTGTTATAAAATACAATAAAGTACAGGATATGAACAATTGTTTTTTAAGATGAGTGTGTACCAAATATTGCATGGAACTAATACTAAAAAAAAAAAAGTTGCTTATTTGAAATACAAATTTAACAGAGCATCCTATTTTAATTTTTGAAATCTGGCAACCCTAAAACCTGCAAACAATATTGCTTTTATTTACTTGTAAATAAACCTTTGATTTTATACATTAAAGTAGTTTTGGTAGTAGCATCTCATTTTATTGTCAGATATATGTTTTCGGCTAAATGGACTATTAAGATTTATATACAATTATATTTTCATTGAAGTTGTAATAGAACACTTCAAGCTTTTTTTCCGTAAGCAGTGTCCACTCACATCCCTTTTCACTCCTGAAGAACTTTATGAAGAAAGCCAGACTGAAGTAAATGTTTCTTTATTTCAGATTGGTTTCAGATCAATTCTTTTAGTACTTAAGGAAATGTTATTAAAAGTTGCATATTTTCTGCATTTAAAGTAACTTACATATGTGATTCTTAAATTATTTGTCCTTGAAAGCAGAAACTTTTCAAAATGAACCATTATGTAGAGATGAAATCAGTGAGTCTAGAAAATGAATAATTCATTTTTAAGTAAATGAGAAATTATTTTGTGCTGTTACTTATACATTTTCACATTTATAGTTAAATAGTAATTTGTGATACACATGGTATTAGTTGTGAATTGTGGTTTTCAATATCACAGACACATTTGTTGCTGTGGTTTTGTAATATCATTCCCTGATGCTTTTCTCAATTGTGGTTTTCATAATCATTGTTTGATAGTCATGTAGCTGTGGTTTGGGGCTGCTATATCCATTTGGACAGAGATAATTGCTTATAGGTTTTGCTGTCTTTTAATTTCATAACCTTGGTGAGTTAAACTAGAAAGAGAAAAATTGAACTTTAAATATCATCAACATTCTCATTAAAAATGATGAGAAAAACAAATTGTAATAGTATTCCTTAGTTTAATTCATTCATAATGACTATAATTAATATATAGTTATAAATTTATATAAACTATATCTATTTCTAATAATGCAGTCTGGTTATTTTATCAATCTTGCTTTGAATTCCCTGACTTTTGCTCCTTTCGGCTTTTAAACTGAATATTTAGCTGAGATTTATTTGTTTCTCTTTTGCTTTGCATATTTAACCATTTCAAATGCCAAAAGAAACACTAACTGTTATGATATTTTAATTCCAATGGGCATTCCTTTTGGCTGATATAAAAAGTCAGCCAGTTCTGTAAAAAGATCTTTAAAAACCATAATGTATAATACACCCAATTCTAAGCACACCAATTTAATTGTAATGAATTGAAAATTAAGGAGGCAAAAATCTGTAGTTCTCTTTCTGCTTATTCATTCCACAACACAAACACACATAACCCTGCTTTTCATGGTACTTACGGCTTTAATTTGTTGGTTCTTCAGGGGAGGGACTTTGTCATTTAGTGCATTTTCCACTGCAAAGGACCATGTATTCTTACAACCTCATATGGTAATAGTACTAATGGTAATGTAATAAAATTCACAATTGGTCTTCAGCTGTGTATTAAGATTCTCTCAGCCATACCTTTCACAGGGCAACTCTTTACACCTTCCAGAAGATGTCCTGATGGGGTTATAAATGACACTGATTACAGTGCTTCCTGCACACTGAGCAGCCTGCATTATGCTCCATCAGCCCAGGCTCTCTGCTGACCCCCAGACCCTTTCAGAGCATCAAGTTTGGTGGGGCTCATAGGAATGGCTAGTCAACCAAACAAAGGGGGGCACAATTTTAGGTCGGAATGGATGATCTCACAACCTGGGGGGGGGAGCGAAGAGTCAGCAGTATCTGGGGGATACATGTCAACTGCAGTGGAGTTTATTAGTAAATACTGATTACATAAAGCAGCCGGTTCTCCTGCCACTTGGATAGAAGCTTCTTCCAGCCCACCCGGGAGTATATATTTAATACTCAGTATATACGAAACTATGAGAAACTAAGCTAGCCTCATGCAGCTTAACTTGGCCAAATAATAACTATGCAAATCACTTCAAAATTTGTTCTTCTTTTGGCTTGCAGTTTCCGACATACTACACACACAATAATTGAATAAGAATGAAACAAAACTTTAAAAGCTAAAGAACCATGAAATAGTTATTGGGTCTTACCTGCTTGGGAAATTATGGCAAGATCAAATCTTTTATTAGTCGCTGGCTGCTTCCCTGTGGCAGAAGAACTAAAAAGAATTAAAGGTCATGGGATGGGGTGGGACTTCAGAACTTCCACAGACTTCCTCAAAAAGTTAGTGTGTTCTGATTAGAGACGGTTCATTTCCCACCTAGGGCTAATCACCTAGCTAATGGTCCTCCCTTTTGATATGAGGAAAAATATCTGCCGGTTTCCAAATTCGGAATTTTTACAATCTACAATGAAAAGTCGAGGTGAGAAAGAGCACTTTGAGGACGCCGCTCAGCATCCCATCCGTGCGGGCTAAGTGGGGGATGGTCCACGTCCGCAGCGGTCTCCTGGGAGCCTTGAGAGCCATGAAATGGTCTCCAGAGAGCCCCGGCAGATGAGAGGGCTTAACTGGCCCCAAGACACACAGTTGGCATTTGTGATCAGCTGCCTCTCGCCGAGGATTTTGCCAGGGGCCTAACCTTCCTGCCAAGAAGCTGGAAGGGCGGGCGTGGAGGCTAGGGGAGGGGGCGGCATAAGTGGAAGCACAAAGTTTACGAAGAGACTGGGATTTCTTTGTGCCCGGCTGGACGGGCGAGGCGTGGGGAGAGTTGGGGTCCATCAGAGGGGGCTGTGGGAAGAAGTTGCCTGGAGGGGTGCTCTGGCAGATGCCCAGAGCTGACGCCGTGACAACTGCAGAAGGTGGCCTCCCTCCAAAGCCTCCCCACGCCTCTGCCCCCCCACCCCCCACCGCGCTCCCGTGCACCCCACCCGACCGAGGCCGGGGCCCTCTTTTGCATCCGGACTGGCTTTGGATGCAGCCAATCCTCCTTTCGCTGATGGAATAGTCTCCCCTCCCCGCAGCCCCGGCGCGCCCCTCCCTCCCGCGCCTCGCCACCTCCCGCGGCAGAGAGCGAGCTGCGCGGCCCGGAGCGGCGGCGGCGGCGGCGGCGGCGGCGGCGGCGCTTGAGTCTCTGCCCCGCACGCCGGGGAGAGGGGAGAGCGAGCGCGCTCCTCCTCCCGCGCCTTCCGCCCCCTCTCTCCCCCTCTCTCCTCTGCTCTCTCTCCCTTCTCTTCCTCCTTCTCTTCCTTCTTTTCGTGTTCCCCCTTTCCCCTTTTCTCTCTCCTCATCCATTCGTTTGTAAATTCTGTTCTCCCCCCTCCATCGCTCTCCTACTCTCCTCCTCCCCTCCCCACTGTCACACTCTCTCTGCCCCCCTCTGTCTTCTCATTTGCTTGCTCATCTCCAAACGTGGCTCCGCGGCTCCCGGAGGAGCCCAGCGCCCGGATCCCGCGCGTCCGGAGCACCTGGAGTCTGGCCCGCGGCGGCCCGAGCCTGGCCAGCGGCGGCGGCGGGAGCGGCGGGAGCCGAGGGAGCGGCAGCCCCGACCGCGGGCACCGCGGGAGCCTCAGTGGCAGCGGCCGCCGCCGAGATGTCCCGGCGAAAGCAGAGCAAACCCCGGCAGATCAAACGTAAGTTTGCACGCTGGGCCGGCAGTTGCCGGGATTATTTCTGGGGAGGGGGGCGCGCGGGGCGGGAAAGGGAGGGAGGCTCGGGGAAATCCGCTCCTGGTGTCCCGGATTTGTCAAACTTTGCCTGAGCAGCGGAGGGGCAACTAGTCAGTCACAGACAGACGGCCCGAGCGCCGGGCAAGAAAGACGCTGCGACGAACAGCCTACTCTTGCTCGCCCGAGTCTTCGCGCTCGTGGGTTTCTTTTTAATTCCAACCCCCGCGCCCAGTTAGTCCCGCTTGCTGTATCGTTCAGCCTGCCTGGACAGCCCCACTCATTTAGGAGATTCTTCTGATTGTGGTTGTTGTCATTGTTGTTGCAATTGACGTAGTGCTACTCTTGGGGACCACACTTTTAGCAAGCAGGGTGAGAACTTAGTTCTCCGAAAAGCTGGTTGGACCTCGGGGCGAGGGAGGCACCGTCCCTAGGCGGTGGAAAATCAGTGTCTGGGTCCCGGTCCAGGGCGGTGCCAGTGCCACGCCAAACCCGAAGCGAAACAAAAAGTAGGTGTAAAAGTTTGCGCTTCTGCAGCGGGCGGCTGTCCGCCTCCGCCCCGAGGGCGCGGGGCTGGCGGCGGGCAGGGCTGGGCCGGGGGCGCCGGGCCCGTCCGGTTCGCGTGGCGGGGAAGCTCAGCCGAGCCGGGATTCGGTTTACCTCCCGCCCCGGAGGCGCGCGGAGTCCTTGCTGGGAGGGGCCGCCCGTCACTTCCCACCGCGGAAGCTGTGAGTTCAAGGCAGCCCGTGCGCCGCAGAGAGCGTGATCCGGAGCCCCCCCAGCGCCCGAGGGCCGGGGTGGCGCTTAAAGGACACCGCGGGGTCGGAGGTACCTGCCCGAAACACACACACTGGCAGAACTCAACTCGGTCAACTTTTCTTGTCTTGGGGAAAATTCCTCCAATGGTGTTTTGTCGCCCTGCGACACGTCTTCAACGCTTTGGCCGAAAAGGAGACACAGCCTTATTAGTTTATTTTTTGCTAGGCTTGTGGTGTGTCCATTTCTTCGTGTTGTTGAAAGTCTGGCAACTAGTTTCAAACTGATTATAGTGTAATTTTAGGGTAAGGCTTTAATAGTATCCCCTCCCCCTTAATTATTAACCACGCTCACCCCACCCCCAAATGTTGAAAATTCTGTTTGGTGTAGTTTAAAAATAAATCTTATCAATCAGCTTATTCAGCGTGAAATGGGGTCCAGGTTGCAAGCAGTTTGCTACAGTTAAGTATTTCGATCGTTATATACATGTACAAACCTTGCCTTTCAGACAAGACTCTGTGGCTTTTATTCAGTGGCTTTCTTCTCTTATACTTCAGTTCCTTTTTTTTTTTATGCAACTTGGGTTAAAGCAGGGACTGAACTGAACTTATAGCTCAAAGCAGTTTTAATCAAGCAGAGATACCGTTGTTGAAGACTTTCACTTTTTCAGAGTGATTATCCATGGTTTTAACTAATTGCCTTTTACTTTTTAGTACTATTTATCGGGTCCCTCTATATAAATGTTGCATTTTATAGTACAAAACTGTGCATATTATAAGATATGATTATAAACATTGAATGTAAATGCTTTTTAGTTCATGGCTGTCGTCTAGATTGTTAATAAATAATTAATATTAATTGATTGTATGGCACAAAGACCATCTGATTCTACTTGGGAATACTTTGTTATCTTCTCAATTAGCTACATTAAATTTTTTTTTCTATCCTTCTATGTCCACCTCATATAACTGAAGATTAAAGCGTTGGAACTAATTGCTGATGCTACACTTGTGTTATAGGTCATAAAACATTTTAGTGGCTTATTTGAATGCTGTGATTTATTAACTATCAAAAATACTTGAAAGTTCTCTCATTTGAAAGTGAACAAATACTATATTTATATATTTGTTCACAGTGATCATTGCCTACTGATATATGCAAACATATGTATTATTAATATACATGCATTTTAGACTTTTATTGGATTCAATTTGGGGTCACAGTGATAATCTATGCAAATGTGGACACGCTTCTCCCCTTGGACTGTTAAGGAGAATGAAAAATTAAACGTCTTTGAATTGTTATATTAGAGCAGTGCTATCTAATAGCTGGAATTTTTTGGGGGGGGAGGAGTGGAATATTTAAATATGGTTTGACCAGCTGTAAAGTCATTTTGGTTGCAGCCTATCGGCATTTGTCTCCTTTTGCCTGTCCAGGCACAAGAGGCAGCTTTGCAGATGAAGTTTGTCTTGATACTCAAAGTCATTAGTATGGTAGGTCTTTCCCTCCAATTTTAGTAGTATATATATAACAAGTGTAGCATTATTATTATTATTATTACAAATAACACTGCTGCTTTTGATATTGTGGGTCAAATATAAGTTTGGAAAAAAATCAGAAAGAAATGCTTTTAGAAACAATAGCATTCCATGCAACTAATGAAACTGTATATTAAACTTGGAAGCGTCCAGAATTTGAAAATAAAGCTTTGGCACTACTGATAAAGCATACCCAATTTAGAGCAACTATGACAAGCAAAAGTCAGCTTATACCAGAAACTCTGAAGACAGTCAATTTAAAGGACAAAAAGGTTGTTGGGCACAGTTTTTTTTTTTCTTTTACTGCGTACAGTTCTCTGCTATCTAAAATTGTGATTTATGCAGTATTTTAATATTTTGCTTATTCTTTCCCCTTGGGTGCTCTCCGGGCAGCGATAAAAAGGCGACGCTGAAAGAGCACCATTAATTTGCTATGATGACTGGCCAGATAAGAGGAGATAATGGGAAAGATAAGCGGAGAAGATATACCATCAGAAACCCGATTATTACCATTAAAATTCCAGCCCAGCAATCTGCAGAAGCCTGATAATTCCTTCTCCGTTTCCACCACTTTGGATGATAAGGCAAAAAATAGTCACTCAGTGCTCCTTGATTAGACTGCCTGGATTTCCTGATAATACAGTGATAAATTATGTATTTTGCCCCCATGTTTTGTCCCAAAATTCAGATTTTTTTTTCCTATTTCAAGACTATATTTTCTGCCCTCCCCTCAGAAGCTTTCTCTCCTGAGCTATTATTGTAATCCTGGTTTGATAAAAAGCCCTGATAGGACGGGAGGTGTTTGGTGTGGGAGCCATATCATGCTATCAGCCCATCTCCTCACACAGCTGCTTGCTGTTGTTGTTTTTAGCCTTATCACCTCCTGCCAATATGCCAATAAATTGCCCAGATTGTTCTCCATTCTGGGGCTGCACTGCAAAATTTATGACAGAAATGATGATTTTTTTTCTTTTACCAATGCATCTTTTTATGATTAGTAAACGTGTTGTGTGTGCAGTTTTACTGTTATTTTCTCCCTCGAGCTGTTGTCTCTAGTAATGTGTTTACTGCCCTATGTGTCTCCAACTTCAGTCACACTTAAGTGTATTGGCTGTGGGTTCAGGAAAAGATTTTTTTGGGGGGGCAGATGCTACCTTGTAGTGAATGTGGAGGTTGAAAAGGGAGGGAAGAACTCAAATGTTTTATTTTCATATAAGATGAAGAAAAGGCATTCTTTTTTATACCACTAAAGTACAGTTTTCTTAAACTTTTACATTGCTTGATGTTTTCATACACGTAGGATATAACTGTGCTGTGTAGATCATGTGCCAAATAATTTGTGGTGAAGGAAAAAGAAAGGCTGAATTAAGAGGCAGAATTTTTTTTTGAAAAGTGAAGTAATATTGGGAATTAATACATACTTTGAAAGTAAAATGGTCCATGCGAAGAATAATCTTGTTAGCAGTTCCATAGAGGGGCTTTTGCAGAAGTTGGAATCCGTTCATATTGAATAAATTACCTTTCTGTTATTTGAGATGATCTAATAATTTCAGACCGTACGAGTCCCTACCTAGCACACTGGCATTTTAATGTTTTATGCTATTTTTTTTAGAGTAGGTAGTATTACGTGTTTTATTATAAAATGATGATTGTCTTAAAATGAGAATGTTGCATATTAAATTTGTTATTTGATATTTGCCAATGTGAAAATCTGTAACTGGATCATCTTTACAACCTTAAAATTACGTTATGCGAAGAAGTGGCTGTGGTTATTTTTCATTGTTTTAGTATAGAGTTTTTTATTTTGGTGTTACCTGTGTTAGTGTTCAATACGTAATTTTTGGGTTAATTATCTACTGTATTCTTATTCATATTATTTTTAAATAGGCGTCTGGGATTGCTACGTACGTTTGAAATACATTGATCACCCATACTCAGGATGTCTTGATTTTCACCTGCCCAATATTAAGACAGGGTTTTGCTTTGAAACAAATCACTCATTTCTTGTGAATTTTAAGGATAATTAAAGATAACATTAAAAAATAAGCCTTTCCCTTTGGTTTGTGATATGTCTCAGGTTAGAGATTTTATTTTCTGCATCTTTGGCTGAGTAACATTTCAGAAAACCTACTTTTACACTGGCCATAAAGAAAAGAAAAATGTATACTGTGTAATACTTGTTTTATTGATAAAATAGATTGGTACCCTTATTTGAAAGGTAACAAAATTAGTTTCTTTATTTACAAATTCAAAATATATCACTGCATAGAATTTTTCTTAATTAATGTAAGAGTAGTAGAATTTTTTAAATAGGCAAATTTTAAGATGGCTAATATACTAATCCTGGTTTTTTAGGTGTTAAAGAGAATATAAGAAAGTTTACCTCTAAAAGATCATTAATCATGAAGTCACTTTTTTTTTTTTAAGTTCAGTGGAGTCAACAGTGCAAACATAAATGCAGTAGCATTTTTATCCATAGTTGCTGTGAAAGAGTTTTTAAAACTTGGTGATATGACTTGGAATTAAAAGAGTAGCTCTTGTATTTTCCACTTCTGGTAACTTTCTAAAGTGGCTTATTTGTAAAATGATGGGATAAGAGAAACTAAGAGGTTTAATATATATCACAATATTTTTTAAACAAACAACTTTGAATTTTTCTGTTCATTACAGTTA